ATGCTCTGGGAGCGTCCATGCAGCAGCAGGCAGGCCAGCAGGCGCCGCAGGAGAAGAGGGGCGGGGAGGTCCTGGACTCCACACACACCGACATTAAACTGGAGAAGAGCAACATCATACTTCTTGGGCCCACTGGCTCAGGTGAGTGTTGCGCGGTGGCACTAATTGTTAAGAGCTACATCGCTAAATAGGCAGTTCATCTGTACATGAGGTCTTGGCAAAATGCTATCGTGATTTCTCTTAATTGTTGACAGGAAAGACGTTGTTGGCGCAGACACTGGCCCGTTGTCTGGATGTTCCCTTTGCAATATGCGATTGCACCACACTAACTCAAGCTGGGTACGTGGGGGAAGACATTGAATCTGTTATCGCCAAACTGCTGCAAGATGCTAACTACTCGGTGGAAAAAGCACAACAAGGTGAGCAGAGGCACTAAGCGGATTCTTTTTTTTTTTTCATTTTTTGGGGACGTGTGATATGAATACATGAGTCTAGAGCTTCCTGTTGATGACAGACAGCACGACCACAGGAGAAAAGCAATGCACTGCTGTGGCCACAGCAGCTTCTCTACACGCTTCAGTGTATCATCAGACAGCCCTTTCCCACAGGGAACTAAAGCTCTGTGTCCTTCAATGCTTTGGTTGGAGCCACCAGATAAAACCAAAGCTTTTTAGCTTGCGGAGACGGGAATTGCTGATGTAGCTTTGCCTCGTTGGGTTAGTTTCCTGTTTTCTTGGGTGATGTGCTTTTTAAGTGGTTTTGGTTCCGTCACACAAGACCACAAAAGGAACAAACTGATCAAGGTGGCGGTAGACCAAGGACTTCCCATGCGAGGTTTACTTGGATATCTTTTTATTTTTGTTCTGAAATTGGCACACATACACACTACTAATGATTAGTTTTTTTGCTGATAGTGTTAATAAGATCAAAATACACAAACAAGTCAGTTATAAATATAAAGTCCCGAAGCTGCAGTTAAAAGATCCGCCACAAACTGATTCAGTCCATGTGAACATCGTGACACGGGACCTCAATCAGCCAACCGCAGAAAAACATGTTTGCATCCAAGTTTGCAATCCATTCCGATGTGTTCTAGGCTTGATCTCGTTGGTTATGTAATCAGGAAGAAATAAAAAAAAAAAAAATCAAATCTTTTTTTACAGCTATTTTACTGCTGTGACGTTTTGCTGCTCTGCTACTGTTGGCTCTGTTTTCTTCACAGTTTAACCGTTTTTTTTTAATTGGTTTAAGTAAATTCTGTTTAGTGTAGTAATCACTGTATTCATTTATGCAGGAACAGTGTGGCTGTGAGAAGTGAAAGTCACAGCTCTGTCCTTTTTTTACACGTGCAGGTATTGTGTTTCTGGATGAGGTTGATAAGATTGGCAGTGTGCCTGGAATCCATCAGCTGAGAGACGTCGGAGGGGAGGGAGTCCAGCAGGTCAGTATTCATCCCGAGTTGCACTATGTACAACTTTGATGTGGTTTGTGAGTTTGAATTAAGACCTACAGCAGCAGATTTGACTTATTGGACCTCAACCCGAGTTACTAACATTTATTTCCTTTTCCGCTCTCTCAGGGGTTGCTTAAACTCTTGGAGGGCACAATAGTCAATGTTCCTGAGAAAAACTCCAGGAAGCTGAGAGGCGAGACCGTGCAGGTGGACACAACAAATATTTTGTTTGTTGCTTCCGGTGCTTTCAACGGCCTCGACAGAATCATAAGCAGAAGAAAGAATGAAAAGGTAAATTTAACTTTGCTCGTATGTGCCGACTTCCGGCAGTCGTTCTTGTCTTTTTCCCTGCCTCTAATGTGATCCTTTTTTATTTTTATTTTTTTTCCTTGACTCTTCAGTATTTGGGTTTCGGAACCCCCTCCAACATGGTGCAGGGGCGGCGCGCGGCGGCGGCCGCCGACTTGGCCAACAGCAGCGGCGAGACGGACACAGTGGCCGAGATCGAGGAGAAGGACCGTCTGCTGAAGATCGTCGAGGCCAGGGACCTGATCGAGTTCGGAATGATCCCGGAGTTCGTGGGCCGCCTTCCCGTGGTCGTGCCTCTGCACAGCCTGGACGAAGAGACGCTCGTCAGAATCCTGACCGAGCCGCGCAACGCCGTGGTGCCCCAGTACCAGGCTCTGTTCAGCATGGACAAAGTGAGGAGGCTGTAGTACCGTGTTAAGCCTGGGTCAGACAGGCGGATGCCACTCCCCCACCCCCCCTCATTCTTTTCAATGAGACCACTGCTCAGCGGGGGGGGGGGCTCAGGCTCAGCTGTTGCAACAACGCAGCGTCATCTAGTCGGATTCCTGCAAGGGCACATTCTTTGTCGATTACTGTGTAACGTCAAAACAACACACATACGTAGTTTATTGTCTCACTGGCACCTAAATGGCAACACGCTTTTCTTGTAGAAGACCCACAAGAACAGAACTGACCGATAAAAAATGTTTTATTACCCTGAACCACTGGATGTTCAGAGTTCAAATGAACACTGCTCTGTTTTTGTCTCAGTGTGAACTCAACGTGACTCCAGATGCCCTGAGGGCCATAGCCAGGATGGCTCTGGAGAGAAAAACCGGCGCTCGTGGGCTCAGATCCATCATGGTATGTAGTCTGTGCCCCGGTTATCATACTTGCATTGTTGTTTTGATGCAGTGCAGTAATTGAGCATGTCCTCGTCTTTATAGGAAAAGCTGCTTCTGGAGCCCATGTTTGAGGTGCCGCACTCTGACATCATGGCTGTTGAGCTGAACAAAGATATTGTCCTAGGAAAATCCCAACCCACCTACATCAGGTCAGTATCTCTCCGCTCACTGGGCGGGGCTACAATCGGGCAATGTTCGTGGACGCTCCAATGTCGCGTTTGGCTGAACTGGAGTTTCCGTCTGAATTGCAGAGCGCCAGCCAAGGAGCCCGCAGAGGAGGAGTACGACTCCGGCATCGAGGAGGAGAACTGGCCCCGGCAGGCGGACGCAGCCAACAACTGAGCCATGTGTCACTCATTTCTCCCGAGGACAGTCTGTGAAATCATTAGATCTTTATGACCCCCTTCTATACCCGCTCTGGATTTTACTGTAGCCTCTGACAAACACGCTGTGGACACTGTTGGTGGTGATAATAATGGAGTCCTGAAGAGTGTTTTCCTGATGAACAAGAGTTTGTAACTTTGGTCCTGTGCATAAGATGTTAATTCTCTAGCACTCACGGTGGACCTTCATAAACTATTTCAATCTCTGGGGATTGTTGACATTTTTTATCTAATATGAAGGTATTGCAATTTTACTCTCAAAGGATTTGTAGCCGGTTTATTTTTTGGTGGTGACTGGCTGCAATTGTAAGGGAAGCAAATGGAAATTATGGGATCATACTGTACACCTCAAAAAGAGGTGGAACGGAGTGTAGGTGGGAACATGTCAAGTAAAGCCTTGGATCATAAGGGCCCGATATTACTTAAACACATCAATATTCTGAAGTTTTCTCCTTTACCACCATTTTTAAAAAATGGTGCTCACAGCAAAACGACATTTGTAAGCAGTTTGTAGGACACAACCTCTAATTAGGAGAACACATTGTGAAGTGTAACGCACCAACAGGTAGACAACGGTGACCTTTTTTAAACTGTGGTAATCTCAGTGTTTTGCTCCACGTATCGCCCACCATTCAGGGAATGTTTCTGTTCCTGGTCTCAAAGCAGGATTAGCAGGTTGCTTACTAGCTTGGAAGTGTTCTTTAGTTTTGTGGTAGATATCCGCCAACATACAGTTCAAGACTGAATCACGGCTTTAAATTAGATTTTAAAGCTTCATTGTTCTCCTAATCGGAGAGCTTCTCTTTCCCTGTTTGCTCTAAACCTGCTTTGTCGGACGCCCCCAAAGACAATGCAGGTGTTTTTATTTCCACTGTGCGTCCCCCAGCGCTGGAAACCCACCTCAGTGTTAGTGATGTAATATCCTGTTACTTAATAGTATCTCAATACACGTAATCAAGCCTAAATGCTCCCCGACCGAACTGAACCACGCTGCTGTACTCTTTGAAACGCTGTTTGTGCTATAACATGAGATTAAACTAGATCTATCCTCTCTTTGCGTTTTAAGTTTCCTTTTTTCCCCCCTTCAGTTCAGTTTAAAGCCTGATTGTTTTCAGAGGTCTGTTACAGAACCTGTAACCTCTTCCAATTTGTGGATCTAAAATGTGATTGTTGAAAATATATAAATAAAATGTAAATCTCTGTACATAATTTTGATTCTTCTTTACGTGTAAACTTCTGTCTGTTCCTTTTGTAAGGTTACCAAAGTCTGTGTGACCAGATGTCTGTTTCTCAACACGTAACAAATGAATGAAACACTGAATATTTGTCATGTTGTGGGTCAGGGGAGGGGGGGCTGGAGTCTAGCGTCAATCCTATTAAAAACTATCCTCGGGGGAGAACATGCAAACTGCACCCAGAGGTGCTGGGCGGCTTTAAACCAAGGACCTTTTTGCTGTGAGGCGATCGTGCTTACGTGACCACACTGAAACCCCCCGGTATGCGGTCACCTTTATGTAATCTGCTAATCCTCTGAAAGTATTGTGTTCTTTTGTAACCTCGGCTATCTGTAATCCCCCCCCCCCCCCCCCTCAAGTCCAGTCACGCCATCTGAAACGTTCCCTAAATATGATGGAGAAAAGGCGCCAACATTAATATATTAATATTATTCATGCTTGTTTATTCATTTATTCTGGTATTATAGTTTTCATACTTCATTATTTGCGCCGTGCAGGTAGGATTATTACAGGCATTTGTAAACAACTGGTCAGATGATGTCAGAGGCTTAGTGATGAAGAGGCTTATCAAGTACATCATCTTCATTTTAGTCACTCACTCAAACAGCCGTTGATGCTTCGGAGGGCTCTGGACCTGAGAGGAACGCAGCATCGCAACTACGATTAAGATCGGCTTCGATAACTTCAACCTCTGGATCGCTTCGTTTCTTCCCTTGCGGGTCATTTGTTTGCGGAGATGAATGACGTCCCATTCCATAGCCTGCTGGCTCCACTGGAGAAGAAAGAGCCTGTGACGGCTGCAGACATCGCGCTGCCCGACTGCCATCGGATACTAGGAGACACCCGGGTACAAAACGCTTCACGTGCACGCGTTCAACGTCTTTCTGGTATCAATTCAAAAGCATTTATCGTTTCTTCAGCTGTTAAATTGCTGGGAATATAGTGTTTTCTTTTCTTATTAGAAACAATTCCTGATGCCTAATTGTTGGAGTGCTGCTGCTTTGCACGTCAACATTAGATTTGTCACAGCACCAAAAAGTCAAATCCATATTACCTCACGTGCGATTTAGCAATCTAGTTTATTTTGGGGGGAACATTATGGAAAGAGACATTGAGCTGTTGAAATGTATTTTTTTTTTGTTTCCACCAAAAGCAGAGTGCTGTATAGTTCCGTTATATTTAAGCTGGCAGACGTCTTTACAGCTGATAAAACCAGGCAACTAACAGAATGATCTAGATTCATAGATGGCACTACAGGTACAAATAAAAATGCATCATTTTCTTTTTATTGTTGGCTGAACTGTTTCTTTAGAATCCAACTTGATCAATTTAACATTTTACTGATATCAGATTTAGCTGCTTCAGATCCAAAGTCTGGGTATTATGTACATGTGTCAGTTTGTTTGTCCTGCAGTACGGCTTCAACCTGGAGAAATGGATCCTAGCTTGGCAACAGCCTGTCTGCCAGGCCCCATCCTGCCCCCCCTACTGGCTGATGTTCAGCAGCCCGCTGGAGAACCGCAAGGGCAATCCGACGGCCGGGGACTCGCGGCCCCCGAGCGGCCGGCCCCGCAGTCACAGCCTGAACTCTGGCGACATTCGCCGGCTGCACCAGCGCGCCGTCAGGTTCCACACCTCCGACTCGGAGGATGAAGAGGGCTACTGCGAGGACAACGAAGCGTCCTCTACCGAAGAATCCCCTCCCCCCGTCAGGAGAGGGGAGCGGCCCCGCAGCGCTGCGCCCAAGGACCAGCTTTCCAGGGTCAAAGACATGCACTTTGGTCAGTGTGTCAGGGGCCACAGAGGCTCCTTACCTTCTCTCCAGACTTCCGAGCGCCGGAGCCGCACAGATCCCCGCAGGCCAGCAGCCCCCCTGCACCAGACAGAGAGCAGCAAAAAGAAGCAGCGCTCACGGGGGTCCGGGGCCCAAAGTTCTCCCAGAACACAGCGGCCGCTCCCTCTCCGTGCCGGCTGCAGCAGCAACGACCCTCCTCTGCAGGGCCCGCCTTCAAAAACTGCGCAAAGAAGGTGTTTTTTATTTCTTATGTTGCTGGTTTATAATACCATACAATAATATAATACATCCTTCATACCTTTTTGAATCTACCCCCCCCCCAGACACTGGGGACCGGTGGCTCTCGGGGGGTTTTCTTTGACTCGGCAGCCGAGTTGTTGTCAGCACTCAGCCAGGAAGAGAGGGAGCTGCTCGGCACCATCACGGAGAAGGGTTACCCGCTACGAACGGCTATTCTGGCTCTGCAGAAGACGGGTTATCACTGCCCAGAGAAGGTCAGGACGTTGACAAATCTCGTACTTTTGTTCATTCTCTTTTCAAATACTTCAAAAAATAAAGTGCCGATGCTGTTTATCACAGTTAATACAATCACTAAAGAGTGAACACACTGAAAATCTTCATTCAACACGTTTCAGTTCTTGCATGCATGATGTTAAAAACTCGCTGTATAAAGCATCAAAGCTTTATTTAGATTTATTATAAAAAATGAAATCCATACTCAAATAGTGGCAACCAAGGGTCTTAATAATTCAATCATAAAAGCTTGTGACCCACCCGGCATCTTGCATCGCATACTTCATCTTTTAATCAACAGATCCTAAAGTACCTGGTGGCCAGTGAGCGTCTGTGCAATCTGGGTTACGATGAGGCTCAGGTGGAAGAGGCCTTGGAGATGTTTCAGAACTGCGAAAGCAAGGTGATTACTGCCCAAAGGTTACTAAAAAGAAACACTACAGCTGTTACGTAATGTGTAGAATTATTTACTTTACATTCTATTCCAGGCTGCTGAGTTCCTGCGTCTTCTGACTCAGTTTACTGAGATGGGCTTCCAGCAAAACGCAATCAAAGAAGTGCTGCTTGTTCATGAAAATCACCGGGAGAGGGCTCTGGAAGAGCTCATGACACGCATGGCTTAAACGACCTCGGCCCATTTCTAGTCCGCGTGGAGATTAGATTATTTTCTACAATACGCTGTGTGACATGTACTAGAGTACAAATGAAAAAATAAGTCAATAAATACTATAAATCTGACTGAGGAAATGATAAATATGCAGTTAATTTGCTGTAACATGAAATACTGTGTGTACACATTTGGGAAGAAAATTGTCATGCCGTTCAGATTCCAGCGTAATGTGGTAAACTGTTGCCATGGGAACAAGGGGTGGATGAAACGCTTTGCATGCTGAAAGGATTTTCTCACATGCAAGTGCTCCAAACAAAATAAGTCACAAAGCGCGATATTCCATTCTGATGGCATATGAAGGAAATATAACTTTATAGGTATTAAAGGATTAGCAGAAGTCTAGTTTCCCAACAAAAAGTACTACAGCCACGTAATTAAAGCAGTCTATAAAAAAGTTCAAATATAATATCCAAAGAAAGTTTTATAAAGTCAGGTATGTAATACAAAGGGAGTATGAATGCAATAAATGAAGTTAGTGAAATGAGTCCGAAGGGCAGACATGTGGTGCCTGGATGGAGGAACTAAGGAAGCCATTAGGAGTGGACATGTGGGAAATGTGTACTTTAAATCAAAGACATTTTGAACAAGGTGGACATGTCTTCATTGAGACTGGGGTATTTCTATTTCCCACACTGTATTGTGTGTACTGAGGTCGTCGATAGTTTGCCTATATATCCAAATAAAGATTGATAAGGTATTCGGAGTAAAACTACATCATTTGGGTTGAACTGTTCCGTTAACATAAAACTTATGCAAAAAACTCCTTGGCTTTAAAAAAAAAAAAAAAAAAAAACAACCTTCAGGTGCAATTACAAAAATATACGAATAGGTATTTTAAACGTTTATTTACAGCTTGATTTAAAAAACAAATAAGTACTCTGAAGAGCAAATTGGAGGAATACAAAAAAGCTGGGTCCTACAACACTAAAACCAAAAGGATTTCCCTAAATATGCTTAAAAGATGTGTTTTAAAAAGCTGCTGCCCTAAAAAGGAAACTGACCGACTCGGTACAAAAAGCAATAACTTGCCACAAACAGCACATACGGCAGAGAAAACAGCAGGACTCCCCCTGGAATAAACACATAACTGATAGACACTAAAGTGTTTACGTGTGCAGAAACATTTATATGGGTTGTGAAGTTTCCAGCCGAGCCGGATGGTTTGACCTCGTCACTGATGACTGACAGTGGAGTTCAGCACGGCAGACTTCACATTGGAAGCCTTCGAGAGGTCTCTCTGTAGAGAAAAGGGAACATCACCCGTCAGCGTCCATATGACAAGGAATAAAAGACATTTGGGATGACATCACAAAGTGCTCATGTAACTCGGAAACCTCTTTATCGTGACAAGATTTCTTGTTATTTGGTAGAGTATCAACTACACAAGACACACATTGCTGAATACCCTAAATATCGCTAACAGGAATAATCCTACTTCAGATTTACATTCAAACTCTGATCCTTCAGACTTTAAGCTAGAATATCACCGTTTATGATACTATTGTTTTCCAATCCAATGTAGCATTAGATCGTATGCTTGTGGACTTCCAATGACGATGGACCAACTAAAAATGTGTAAATCTGCAGTTACCGTAAACTCTGAATAGGAGGAAGCAACCATGGTGAAGGTGTTATCGTGCGTATCCTGAGACCTCAGTGTGCCGCTTGGAGCGCTTCTGAGGTTAGAGATGTTTTCCTTGTTTCGGTCTAGTGCACGGGGAGTTTTCCCTTGTCCAGGTGTTCGGAAGCCAAAACCCTACAAGACCACGATCATGTAGAGTATGCGAGATGAGAAGTAAAGACATTTGGAAAAGACACACTGGCATTGTGCAACGAAAACAAGATATTTAGTAGTTCTAGATGTCATCAAAACATTCACAATAATGCTTCTGCAAATCCGTCACAGCTTACAGATCGCAAGAGGAGCTTTTGTTAGAATCTTCCAGTGTCGTTTAGGCCAATAAGTATAATGTACAATCTCACAAACTGACAAGCAACATTTCATCATTAAGCTGAACGCACAGGCTGTGCCTTAAAAAGGAGGTTTGTTGTATTGTAATCCTTCAAAGATGTATATTAAAAAAAAAAATATTCATACGAGGTACGAGTATCATACGAGGGCTACACAGTAACTTTTAAAAGTGGTTGCCTGAAACATTTCCACTGAAGGATTGAGGATTGTACAACTTTCCTGGGTGTGGGTTTTATTTCCTTCATTCATCCCGTTGACCTAGTTGAGATTTAACTAACAGTTTAACCGAGTAAGGGACTCCTTAAAGGGATCAATTTAAGAAAAAAGGTGTCAAAAAGGACTGTTGGTACCTTGCTGGCAGACGGAGCTGGTTTCTGGAGGGACGACTGGCACAGAGTTCCACTGAGGCCTGAACCAAGGAGGCTGTTGGGGGTGGAGATTGTGGAGGTAACATTGAGCTATGAGGACAAAAGGGGGGGAGGGGGGGGTGGGAAACAACGTCACATCTTGAATTCTCGACATTCGCTGGGTTGCGCATGTGCACATGCGAGAAGTGGAACTATAGTGCAGCTTCGATCTTCACCCTCTGCGTACATTTCCCAGGTGTGGGGGTCCCTGCTACCCGCCTTTTGGTATGGAGTTGCTCATTGCAAGAGTTCCATACAACTTGACCTCCGTGGATAACACATGTTTGCGTTTTCTTCCCATTTGCTAATTGGCACACAAACGAAGAATTGTAGTGGTATTTGACTAGGCTTTGGTGCAGACTAACAGTTTGATTTGTAAATTCAGAGGGTGAGCTTAGAACAAACACTCTCCTGTTTCTCCTTCTCCTTTTCAGCATGGTGGTAATCCCACTGCTGCTGCACGTACTCTAAAAATTTCTGTCCATTGACGAGGAATTCTTTGCCATGCTCCTCCACCCAAGCATCAATTTGGGCTTTAAGACTCTTTTCCAGCTGGAACAAAAAGAGAAACACAGATTTGACCCCATTGACACGTTGACATTTCCCATTGAAAACTGGTCGACATTTTCTAAAACGCCCTAATTTGACTCAATCTGGTGAATACAGTTGTGCAAAGGACCTACAGACTGAAATCATTGTGTTGCAACATCGTCATCTGTTGGCCAAAAACAGTAATGCACCAACAAACTTTGAAAAAAAAAAAAAAAAAAAAAATCGTTTACGAGCATAAAATTCCAATGCGGTTTTGCATAGTTTGCATGTCATTAGACACCATGTTTAAACTCACCTTAGGCAAACTTTTCTGCAGGTCGGCTCTCTGCTTCTCTTCTTTCAGAAGGTTCCCACCTCTGTTGGTGAACCTGGAGGGGTCATTTGCTCTTTTCTGAAATGGTCACATACAAGCACACGTTACCGCACAAAGATACATTTACTTGATGTGATTTCCCACAAAATTCACAAGGAAAATACTTACATCAAGTTCCATGTACAAGGTCCAGTTCTCCTGCCATTTGGTGACTCCATCAAGGAGGGTCCTGTGGCCCTCGTAACACATCTTCAGGGTCCCGATCTCTGCCTCATGCAGGTTGAGTAGCTCTTCAGTGAAATCATCTTGGGGATGAAAACACACTCGGTTATCAAAAGCATACATTTAGTGTAAGGTTATTGTCGTTATACAACAAACCTTTACCATCATAGTATGGAACAAACGATTGCCGCTGCTCTTCACTGTAAAAGCACTTCTCCCAGAAAAGAGCAATCTCAGCTCGGATAGCCTCAATGACGGTCTTCATGCTCTGCATCTTCAGCACCTCTAGACGCTGGACCTCAGCCTGGAGCTGGAGACATACGATACTCAGGATTGGATCGCGTTAAACAAGCTTTTGGTGCAGCGACACAGCACTGTCTGAGATTATTTTATTTAAACAAACACATAAAGGCAGATTTCTTACTGCCTCCACGTTTCTCTTCTTTGTCTTGACCATATGCTCAGAGAAGGCTTCCCGCTCCTCTTGGGGAATCAGAAGTCTTTCCCACAGCTCATGGATCTTAGAACGGAGAGCTGAACAACACCGCTCATTCTCAGCCTTGTGTTCTTGTAACTGGAAGGAGGCATAAAAAATACATCCATTATAATAGGGTATATATTTAGTACACTTCCACCGGTCAAAAGAACACACACATAACAGCAAATATTACAAAGAATTACCTGACTGAGGAATAGTTTAAGAGCAGCCATGTTGTCAATTGACAGGCAAAATTCCTCCTCATCCTCATAGATCACATCCATCTCAAAGCTCGTCTCGGGGTTCCGCTCCAGATCCTCCATGAATACGATGATCTCCTTTTTGACGGCAACAAATTCCTCATGACGACGTTCCTAAAAAAAAGACGCGTCAGGTTAACTCACAACCGTATTAAGAAAAGACATGAAGATATTTAAAAAAGCCAGAATGCCAGACCTTCTCTTTGGTAAGATCATCCATGTAAGCATGATATGCCTCAAGTTGCTTCAGTGATGGGGTGCAGTCCGTGTCGATGTAAAATGGGGTAGTGGACAGAATGCCACACAGCTCGCGGTCTTTGCTAACAAGGCCCTTAAGCTCTTCCATTCTTTGCTTCTTGTGCCCCTTCATCACCTCTAGTCGCGTGCGGCTGTTCTTCTCCATCTGCAACATGGTGCAGCCATCTTCCTCCTTTGCAGAAAACCAGAAAGTTAGGCCAAACATATTAGTCATCTCCCCAGATAAGTTTATGACAATCACAAAATACTTTACCTCAAAGGAGGGCAGCTGAAGCTCACTGCACAAATTATGAAGTTCCTTAACACATAACTCTATGTTTTTCAGTAATCTCTTCTTGAGCTGCTCTTCTTCTGTAATCATGAGGTCCAGCAGGCCCTGCAGGACAAGCGAAAACCAATCATACGTGTCAATTTGCTTGATCCGTAAAACAGACTTAACTACATAAAATCTAATTAGATATTGGACTTACTTTAATGTGTTTGTGAACATCATTGGTTCTCTGTACGCGCTGTTCCTCTGGAATCCCGATTTCATCCCAAATCTCCTGCAACCTGACCTGGGCTCGGTTGAGGTAGGCGCCGCACTCTGCTGCGTGTACTTCACTGGAAGAAGAAACAGTGGTGCGAGTGAGCCAGTGTTCCGGAAGTTACAGTCAAAAACACTTTGCCAATTTGAATTTGAATTGGCACTATCTTAGGATTCAAAATCTAAAGTTAGCATCGGACTCCCGCAGTAACCGCAACAGAGAGCAAACCGCTCATCCACAATCGTATCAAACACCGAGAAGGCTAACGTTAGCTTGACGTTAGCTTTCCAGCGCTTTAGCGTAACGCTAAACGAATTTCAAAAACGCTAATTACCATTTAAACGGTGTCATAGCAGCATACACAAACAGAAAATACGTCCCGACACGAGCGGTGTGCGTATGCCAAGTGAAGCTAAAGCTAGCCAGCTAGCTTTATTTAAGATCTTCAGGCTAATATCGGGAGATACGTCAACAATGATAATCAGTTAACAAACGTTACGTAAATTAACCTAACGTTAAACCATTGAATGCGCACAATTGAAATGTTGTTACTAACCTCACTCTCATGTTTCCACCTCAAATGTATTATTTAAAACAAACTTCGTTAGAGCTAAAGCGGTATTTTATCAAAAATAATCCGGCTTCGGTTGACGGGTCCCCCAGTTGGTTGACGACTCGACGGTTTGAAATCTGCACCGGAAAAATATCTGTGCTCTGATTGGCTGGTGTCCGTGACGTAGGCGGAAGCCGCTCCCGGGGCGGTACTGCAGTTCAAAATAAATTCGTATTGGAAAGGATGTCCGTTATTTTAACGGAGCATATATTCCTTTCCTCTTACTATGTTAGGAAAAATACAAAAAGATAATAATAATTCGCCAAACTCGTGTATATAATGTGTGGATGGCAAATATCCGAAAACTCCACATCACTTTAATACTTTTTTGTAATGCATTCACCTATTATATAAATCACCAAACTTTTGGCCTACGGATAGAATTTGCAAAATATCTGCTAAGAGGTGTAATAATTTACAACCTTTAATGGAAGACCATCTATAGTTATGTATTATATTGTTTCTTTTCATTATTTATAATAATAATAATATGTATGCTACAGTCATCTTAGACACAAAACGATGTGATACTGTTTTCCACATTATTTGATGATTAATATTATGAGATGAAAAGGAAAAAAAAAATGTTTAAGTGAAAAAATATGTTTCTACCGACATGGTGTGTGTCTACTGATGGTATTTTAAAAGGAATGGGCCTTTAGTGTTAATCGCAAAGACATAATTGTTTACAGTTTGATCTATCTATCTTTCTAATTATCCATCCATCTATTTAACTCGTGCTACTCTGAGGTCTACCTATCAGGTCTGTGCTCCCCAGTCTATTTGCTCTGCTTTCTTTGCTTAAGATGTGGCCAATGGACACATATTGTGAGGTTTCTCCTCTCCCTATGTCTGAATGGCATACTCGACTTTTGAGTTTGTGTGTATGTGTCCACTTCCAGACACAGACAATTTGTGCAATGAGAGAAAAAACACAATCATGACAAATTATTATAGTATTTGTTTTATTTGTTGTTCCTGATGTTTAAGAATCCTTTAATTATTGTGCAAAAACCCTTAAATTTACAAGACCGAACTCAATTTGAGTCTAAAATGAAGATGTTTGTCGGCGAGTGGCGTGGTAGAGGATTTACACTGTCATCAAAAATAAATAAGTAAAAGACTTGGTAGAAAAACGAAGTGAAGTTGCAGAGGAAAAACCCAATGTTGGCTAGTTCAGTGATTACATTGGATGAGAGGCCGCCTGTGTTCCCTCATCAGTGAGGATACTGGCGTAAATAGACGTTCCTCAGCACCTCCTCACTGAACTGGTAGGTAAGCTTTTTCTTTACTTTTATAATCTCACCAGATTTACCATAGTTCCTCAGAGCTCGAGCCATTTTTTGGTAGGTCATCTTTTTGCGGTTTCCTTTCTGAGTACCCCAGTGGCTGGCCAGGGCTTCTTTGTGTTTAGTGGAGAACTGAAAGACGCCCCTTTCCTGATCCACCCACCAGATACTATCAGTCATGTCACCGTTTTTCAGCAAGTCCAAGAGGAACTGGTACAAGCGGATTTTCTTCTTGTTGCCTGGATTCGAAATTATGAAACTCAGTCAGGCAATTTAGTTTGGCAGTTTCCCCACACTTGTATATGACATACAGATTCTTTACATGTATGTGTATGACATATAGATTCTTTACATGTATGTATATGACTATAGATTCATGCATTGAAAATACTCACTAATGTCTTTCCTAAAGGAGGGGTGGTTGTGGTCTTCGAATTCCTCCCCATCTGATACCTCAAGTGGATGGCTGATTCCTCTTTGTTCCTCTTCTGAGTAGTAATGTCCAGGCGAGGCAGGGGGCTGGTACGGGTAGCACAGGGATGGGGTGTAATACGGGATCTTTAGGAGAAATGTAGAGCGCGTCACGGTTCAAGTTTGCACTGGGAAACTGAGGGGATATTTTCTTTTGTTTTGCACCGTCTGACATTTTGCTTTAACATTCAGCCATTGTGCTAAAAGAGGAAGTAACTCTGCAAAAAGAGAGTTCAATGCTCTGCATGTGATGTAGACAACGTTTCGGAGAAAATTGGCCGCCCACATCATGTATTTCAAGAAATGAAATTATTATTATTTTATGGATTCATCTAAGTCCATTCGGTTTTCCATAAACTATTTACCAAAATAGGTATTGTATTGTTCTTATGTTGGCAGCAATACATTTAGTAAAATACAATTAAAAAAACGTAATCTCCTTGTATTCAACATATACAAGCATCAGTGTTGTTTATGTCAACGCTATGAATTCAAGCAGAAATGTGGCTAATTGTAAAAGTACAAAAATGAACAAAACCCGAGTTGGTCTTTGTGCTTTAGCTTCTGTCTTTTGATTCTGGAAAAATACTTTGAGTAAGTATTTGAATCTCATAATGGAGTAATACCTGACAAAATGATTACTTTCTCTGTAAAACGTTTCGACTGGTAAAATAGAGCCATCATCCGTTTCCACATATCGCTTACTTGTGGTGAAACCGAGAGGGGCAACAAGGGGGGGTCCAGGTGAAGGGGCATAGACTCGCTGCTGTAGCGGTAAGTTGGTTGCACCAGTTGTTGAGGGGACACAGACTGAAGCTCAATGAGGTGATTCAATGGAGAATTCTCAAAGTCTGCCGCATGGACACGCTCCGAGTGCAAGGTCCATCTGTGGTCTGAAAGGCAACAGAATGTACTGTTTGGCACTCAGACGGGCAGCGATGGCGATCACATCGACAGTGAAATACAGTCTTCTCACCTTCGTAAATCTCCGCCACGGTAGTGAGATAAGGGTACGGCTCTCCATGGGGACGATAATTTTCTGGTTCACTTGGAACATTTTCCTCTGACTCCTTTAGAGGGGAGAAATTTGATTTGGTCACAGAGAAAATAAAGGTTTGAGTCCCTTTTTCATGAGAAAACTAAGTCAAATAAGTCTGTTGTGTGAAGTACTTTTAATTGTATAATGTATTTTATATATATTGCCTTAATAGAAGATAAAGACGGTGAATTAATAGAATAAGGTGGCTGCTAATCACCAGAGGAAACATACAAGCTTACAAAGGAATGTGCCTTTAGTGTGTGTAAAGAGTTACTCTCCCAATTCTCAAAGCAAAAACAAAAAGAAATTCACTTGTTCTTGTTAAACACAAACACAACTCCCAGATATTAATCAATGAGCATTTCTTAGTTTCACCTTAGTCACCACAATTGTTTTGTTTCTAGAAGAAACAGCATGACCGACAGGAAAATATAATCCCAACGGTACAAACCTTGAAGAAAGATCAGACATGGATGAATAAAACTTACAGATGATATGGCATATCCGTCCATCCTCAACAAGGCAGCATGAGAACCTTTGTTCTTAAAGTTTGTAATGGATGTTAAACCTTTTCTTATTGCTTCACTAAAAAACACAACGCCACTGAGCTGACTTCACCAGACAAATGGGAACTGAAAGTGACACACAAACTGGACTAGAGTCTGCATTCACATCATCCAATTGTCAAATTCATACGATCAGCTAGTTCCTGATGGCTGAGTGTCATGTATGAACCAACCGCATTCACACGCATTGCCTGCACAAGAGCTTTTATGGCACAACGATTCATGAAACAACTGTTTTAATACATTATATTATAATGAAGATATTAGTCCTGCAGCTGTAAAAATGCTGGCATTGCAGCAGCAAAAGAGTTATACATCCACTATATATTTAAAATATTCTGGTATTGGTCCACAGTAAAACTGATAATAGTGCGGTGGTGTCTAAAACGTATTTTATCCCTAAACAATAATAATAGTAAATATAGAGGCGTGTATGTATCCTCTGTAGAAACAGTCATACTGTTAGAAGATGCATTGTTATCACACAGCCTAATGGCGTGCCCTGTAATGCATCAACTTCCCCCTTCATCAGTACAAGTGGTGCAATCATGTGCCCAGAAAAAAAGCTAAAATAGAACGAAATCTGTAGCCATTTAACAAACATCAAGCTTCAACACACTTGCTGTGCAAGAACATGTGATTTACTCATTTCCTTATGAATTACAACAAATCCCCAAGTGCATTTACTTGTAGGGATTTCTTTAAGAGTTGCTGCACACAGCAGCCGAAACCAAAAATAAGTTTGGAATCAAGCTTGTTCCTCTTTAGTCTCGCATTATGGCTCCAATTGAGGAAGTGTTGACCATGAGAATGAAACCATTTAAACATGACTGTAATATTTGGAACCACTGTGTCCCTGAAACTTGTTTCTTCAACGTCCTTTAGGCGTCGACATTGTAAGCTTAATACACAACGATACTCGAACCCTGTGCCAGAGCTCAACAACTCTTTTCTCTTTTGAAGTGTGTGTGATGTTCTAAAACCTCTCTGAGGGGAACCGATGCTCCGATGTTTTCTTGGTTTGGTTTGATGTGTGCGGAAATCTGTTGGATGTGATGAAACCGTTTCCTGTGCACCAGACAGAGCAAACGAGGCCCTCTGGGGGCTTTAGTTTGTCCCGTGGTGTTTTATAAGTCAACGCTTCACACTTTAGCGGCTGAGGTGATAGAAAATATGAACACTTGAGGCCACTTCCTCCAGCATGACTGTGGCAGACGCGTTGTGTCAGATCACAATCGGCTGTGACTGTGGCTCCGGGGGCCCGTTTGTGCTTCTAAAAACCCGCTCTGTCTCCATCTGCTGGAGGGACGCGTTGGACTGACCAGTATCGAGGCTCGACCGACTTGACAGGCAGCCAAAACAGCTCGCAGAGGCCCACATTTATTTACCCTGCGACTGGGAATTTGCCGGATTTGGGATTGACACACTGAAGGCATGCGCGCCTCGGGGATTTCACCCGCTTCCCACATTTCTACGCGTTGGTGAACATTCGCTTCCCCCTCCGCGTCCGCCCGAGAGCAGCGGAGAGCAGAGCCCCGCTGTCCCGTGGAATCATCACGGCGCCGAGGCGAGACACGCATGGAACATGGCTGCTATGAGGACTTTAACGGTGGCGGGTCTCATTTTGGCGTTTTGCGCTCTGGGGCTGATCGCCGTGGCCATCAGCACCGACAACTGGTACGAGACGGACGCGCGGAGGCACCGGGAACGCTGCAAGAATTATTCCAACAAAAGAAACGACCCCGGCTACATTTACATCTCCAACAACAACCTCCCGCTTCGCATGTTGCCGAAGGAAAGAAACGCGGAGAAGCGGAGCGGCGACGTGCTGCTGCGGGCCAAGCGGCACTTCTTGCCTCCTGCCGCGGCCATGGAGTCCCTCTGCAATCGGCAATTCAACTCCACCGTAACCGGACTGTGGCAAAAGTGCCACCGGGGGGGGTTCGACCTGGAGATAGAGGATCTGATCTTTAAAGGTTTGGCTTTCCTACGAATCGTATTTCGTGCTGTGGTGCGTTTGTTTTTGCATGTGTGTGGTGTGCGAAGGCCGCCGTCACGCACAGCGTAACGTTACATTGTGCACGAATGCGCTATCCGAGGTGCTGATGCTGCGCACTGATCGACCCCCCCATCCCCTTTGCCCCCCCCCCCCCCCCACCCCTGCTCCCCGAGGCCTGTACGCAGCACAACGCGGAGTACAGTTACAATACGACGTGGCGTGTTGTTGTTGTTGTTGTCACTACAGCTGGCCACAAAAGGGCAAAGCTGTAGTGACAGAAGCCGCGAGATGCGTACAATAAGCCGCTCTACAATTCAGTGGGTGGATGGGTGGGTGGGTGGGGGCAGAAGGGGGGAGGGGGGGGGGGGGATCCCTTTTTTTGCTTTGCGATATGCTCTTCATCTGATCTCAGTGCTTCTGTGACCTGTGACATCCTCTTTGTGTTGTTTACATCCACAGGATTGGTCCGATCGCTGCACACCAATAAAATACTACTACGCATCCGCAGCGTTGCCCAGAAACCTGCCAATCAATCTGACGAAGACAATAAGGCAGGATGAGTGGCACGCGCTACGTGAGTACCCCCCCAACACACACACACACACACACACACACACACACACACACACACACACACACACACACACACACACACACACACACATGATTCAGTGCCCCAGCAAACACTGCCTCTGCCCTTTTGGCGCTTTGCAGACCTCCAGAGGATGACGGCAAGTTTTGTGGGCATGGCCGTGTCCATCATCCTGTTTGGCTGGATCATAGGCGTGCTGGGCTGCTGCAAGGAGCATGATCTGATGCAGTATGTGGCCGGACTTCTTTTCCTCATGGGAGGTAAGATGCTGTGTATAAAGAGCACCACCCCGAGTCCCCACAGAGGGGCAGCATGTGTCTTTGTTAAGGAGAGAGTGACGAGACGAGGCATCGGAGGGGATGAAAATGGACCTGCTGTCGTGTGACTTGTTTTTCTTCCTCTTCCTCCAGGGACATGCTGCATTATCTCCCTGTGCACATGTGTGGCTGGGATCAACTTTGAACTGTCCCGCTACCCCCGCTACATGTTTGGAATACCAGAGGACATCAGTCACGGTTACGGCTGGTCCATGTTTTGTGCTTGGGGTGGACTGGGCCTGACGTTGCTGGCTGGCTTCCTGTGTACACTGGCTCCTTCTCTCTACCCGCCACACACCCCCGTGGTGCACAAGCCCAGGCAGGAGAACGGCTGTGTGTGACACGCCGCCGCACATTTAACAGACACCTGTCTCCTCCCGAAGCAGCGGCGAGCCCTGACGCTCAGACAATAACACCCGGGGACTCAGAGCAGAGAGAGCCTTCACGAAAACAAAGCACAGGGGCCGGGCTCTCGCTCACGTGAAAACGAAAAGGAGGTGACCTTTGACTGACGGCGATTTCAGTCCCTCTGGTGCTTTTTTCCTATCCCTCTTTATGAATGAACTGTTCAGTGTTAATTGCTTGCTCTTCAAGAGGACAACGGTTATTCCAATTTTCCTCCTGTAAAATCTGCTTAAAAAAAGAGAAAAAGAAAGTCTGGCAGGCAATGAATGGCACAACTTTGAAATATGTATCGAAGATCAAACTATGGATGTGTCTCAAAGGGCAACTGTGTATCATTATGTACCCATACAAAACAAGATATGTACATGTACTTTTGGAAATGTATGTATGCAGATGCATTTGTGTTTATTCAAGGAAAAATATGAAGGTCAAGACCAAACTGTGTTTGAGGGAAATGTTTTGTTGTTCTTGAGGTCTTTCTCCCATCCAAATATTTTTGAAAAATAAAGCCGGCGTGCATAATTATTTTTTCTTCCTATTTGACACACAGTTAAGTAATTGTCTGCTGTGCGTTGCAGTGAAATAACTTTAATAAAAATACGAATTGAAATGGTAGAAATAAGAAACTTGTTTCCAGAAAAGACAATAACTTTGTGATTACTTTTATTCTGACAGCATCACAAACATACGATTGATGGCTTTTTCCAATTATTGTCCATGGACAGACTCCCAGCCATTGTGAGCTGTAACTGGCCCACAACTTTGATGAGAAATTAAATATTTATTACATCCAATTCCTGCCAGGCTTCACTTATTTCCTGAAGCTTCTCTGCTCCTTAGCAACCCGTCTTTCCTATTGTGTTTCTCAGAGGACATCTATCCTCTCTAAAGAGTTATTGTGCTGCTGCGCCCTTCAAAGAAACTCTTCTTGTTGCTTCAGACTATGTAGGCCACATTGTGAATGATCTTGGAAGTACGTACTGATTCATTATAGAATGTATGATATGCAGAATTTCATATACATAAAACAATAATCTATAATGATCTGTGACAAGCGGAAAGACAGAGTTGAAATATAACCATGGTATTAATTGTTAAATGTTTCCACTCTGCGTCCATAATAACTGCAGCTGTCAGATAAAAGTATGAAGTACAAAGCCCAGTGCTTCGGTAGTGAACGTGGACCATAACAAAGTATAGTTTGGATGTACTTCTGCTTAACTTGAGTATTTCTATTTCATAATACTTTGTACATCACTACTTTGTTGGGGACAAATGAGTGATTAATACTTTTCACACATCTATCCAATAACTTTGGTTAAAAGTTGTTTACCTATTCAGATTAATACATAGTCAATGTAGTTTTACATAACCAGAAAAGTAACATTGAGCTAATACTGAACTTCTGAACATTTAACCTACGAAGCCTTCTGGAAAAGTGATTAACTCAACCTTAAGTTAAAATAAATCTCATTTAAGGAGGAGTATCCACAAACCTTTTTTAAAAACAAAGGCTCTTACATATAAAGAAAGTGTTTTCAATAAAACATCCACTGCAGTAATAGTACGGGTATGAATAGTATTCCAATAGCTCTCATCTTTCTAATAATAACAGTGAGAGGCATGTGGTTTGGGGGCTTTGTGCTCTGCACAGAGAGGGATCAGTGTGTTCTCAGGTCAGCTCCGCTCTACATTCCTGACCTCTTTGTTTTTTCTTTAAATATGTCAGAGAGGAGAATGAATTAATCTAAAAAGCTGCTTGTCACTTAAGCCATCCGTCCTCCTAACGTCAAGGACCTTACATCAATCTGGAAGAAAAGCTATTTTCTATAGATGAGCTTAATAGTGAGAGTCGTACTTCATTTAAGACCGTATGGCTCTAAGTTTCCGTGTGCTACAGTTCTGCGCTGCGCCCCGCGGACATTGAGAGCCATACACACGTATAGGGTTTCCATGCACCGAGCTCCTGCGGCGCTGGGTAATTTGACGGGGTTTGTCGGCACTGCGCTGAGATGCAGAGAACCGTTTTTTTTTTTAAAAAGGGGTCCCTCGGGGGAAGCTGGACTGTGAGGAAAACCAGACAGAGGAAATCACACCCAGTCGGGCCCGTGGCAGCCCATCTGGCTCCCTCACATCTGCACAGACATGATCTCTGTAAAAAGGTTGGCACATTTATGGCCTGTAACTTTGCGGTTGTTTCTGACTGAAACAAGAGAGTTTTAAAAACAGTAGTGAGTGAGCCTGCTGGGTAGATTAACGCCTTTCAGGAAGCCCAAACTACTTTCCCACCATGAATAGATTTTAAAAAAGCTGTATTTATCATTCAAGTCTAACTTGATGACGTCATCCAAGACCACACATTTAATACTCGCACCCAATTTTATAGATCATGAAAGGCAAAGATCAGATAATGACAACAGTGGCCACTTTTCGACAACACACACTTCGTACTCGAGTCGATGACTTCCAGATGGAACGGGGAGACAATGACAGACCTCAGACGCCTGTTGACTTGACGGGACGGTCGAGTCTGCCACTCAGAGCCAACCAACAACGAGACATGCTGACGCGAAGAAGTGGTTTGTGAAATGTCCCACGAATGACAGTGTGCGTTCCTCAGGACAAATGAATCATGCAGTAGAGGACACGTGTGATGTGATGAATGATAAGTATTTATTTGATCAATAATAACCAACAATTGAATATACAACATCATTTATACCACACAGAGAAAACATATATAGCCATAAACTTGATTTAAAGGCAGAGAGCTTGTACCTCAAACTCGTCTTCAGAGGTGGCACGGACGGCTCCACAAAGACATAACTAATGCCCCCCCCTCCCCAGTCTCAGAGGAATGTCTGGATGTTTGTGCAAGAGCTGCTTTAATGACACATGTCCAAAGAATGGGGAGAGTCTGATATATTCAAGGAAGGATATTGAGAAGCCGCAATGAACTTTCCAGTTGTTTGTGAGCTGGAGTGTCAAATGCACACACACAAACACACACACACATATACTCTCTATAAGCCGACGTTCAGGTACTCCGTCTTCAGGCGGCTCAGTCTGCTGCCGTGACTGCGAACGATGAGAGAAAGCAGCTCCTGTTTGTCTTTCAGTCCCAAAGAGACGTCTGCAGTCTCCCTCAGAGTTCCCTGCATGTCGCTCACTTGCTTCGTCACGTGGCCGCTCAACTGTTGCTCCTCTCTCAGCTCAGTCTCTTGACTTTGTTTGAACTTCCCCTCCAGCTCCAGCAGAGACTTGTCCACGCTCGAGAAAGCCTCGCCGATCTGCGAGATCTCCCGCTGGAGGAGCTTGCCGTAGCTGTCCTCTCCGTCCAGGTCCTGCGCCACAGTCCGGCCGACGGCTTCCAGCAGCCGCGCCGCGTCCTCAGCCTGCATCTTGGTGATGACGAAGTCGTCCCTCACCACGGAGTCCCTCTCTTCGGAGGCCTCGCAGGGATGCACATCCGAGAATCGGAACAGCATCTGGCAGTCTTCCGGGTCTTCGGTCTCATCGTAGTCCCCGTCCGGGACAAAGAAGTGATGGAAGGAGCCGTTGGAGATCTCCGGTTGGAGGGGCCCCGTGTAGACGGCCGAGCACAGCGGCAGAGATGTGACTATGAGGAGCAGGAGTGGGACGGGATCCATGGTGCACCTCCTCCTCTCTCTCTCTCGCTCTCTCTATCTGAGGAACGGAATCTGCACCAGCAGCTAAATACAGCGCAGAGTTTTCACCCCCGACTCAAGTTACACAGACCCCCGTCACTTAAAAGGGGCAGACCGCTTGTTTTTGGTCCGGAGGGGCCCCGCTGCCCCCCCCCCCCCCCCTCTCTACAGCTACACTTAACAGCAAAAGTAATCCTAAAATATCAAAACGATGTTGCTTAAATAGTTTCAAATATAAACCGGATCAGTTATTTCGGTTGAGACGTTTTGACGGAGGGTAATATAAAGGAAACTTTTACAGATGCATTTCTACAGACTATTCCGTGGGAGTGCAGTTAGAGCTCACTCCGGGTACCTAACTCAGGTAATTGCATTTCTGCACGGAGGGAGAGCCCCCTGGGGGACATCCTGTCATGGGCAATAACATCAGCACAGGGTCTCAGATACGGCAAAACTGGAAACATGTGGCAAGCTCCCACGACTGGATATGACTGGTTCTGTTCTCTGATGATCCATATCCGGTGTTTGGTGCAGCAGGGGTTTGTTTTGGCAATAGTCTATGAAACATGGGTTTAAACATGCATGTGCAGTAGTTGATGTCCACGAGTTGGTTGTGTTTCTTTCCTCCTTCTAACCGTTCTGGGTTTAGAGCCAGACAGCAGCAGAAGGATAAAAGCAAGATTTACCTTGTCAACAGGGCAGGATGAAGGTTTCTAACAGGTTTGCAGCGAACAAAACCAAGAAACGGTGCAAGCAGAAGTTCAGACCCCTCGGATCAAAGATTCAGAGAACAGGAAAGCCGGATACAAGAGATGAAAGCTGGGACAGGAGGATCACGAGGTGCAATCTGTCAGAAAACAAGAGCTGCAGCGACGACAAACATGAAAACTGGGTGCTGATGAGGGAATTGGAGTTCAGGTGGGTGTGGAGATCAATGCATCTGTTATATAAAAGCCCTGTGATGTACAGTTTAGCGGAAACGCGGTGAGTAAAATCAGTCACTGGCTGTGGGCTCCTGCCGCTGTAGCTGGTGAGATATGATCAGCAGATCGGACAAACAAAACAATGAGCTGAGAGACATTTCAAGCTCTCTGGGTTTGTCACAATAAACAAATGATCCATTCAGATTAATGCAGCTGTCAAAAAATATTTTTTCACCTGTGATGCGGACACTTTCTATTGCACTCATCTTTGAAGAGATTTTAAAACCGCCGAGGGGTCGACAATTTGCAGTTACTTTTTCAACAACACACCTGAATAAACACAGCGTCTCTCCGAACATGAACAGGGATGGAGCAAACTGACCGGCTCGTCGAAGAACAGCGGGGCGAAGCTGCCTCCAGCAGATGTAGCAACAACAATCCTGTACTGTATACACAATCCGTGTGTTTGTTTCTACGTGTGTGTGTGTGTGTGTGTGTACGGAGGCCGGATGTCTTTCAGATGGCGGTAACGCGTTTCCTCACTATGCCGACGTGAGGGAGCAGGAGGGTCGAAGGCACCGCGGGATGCGTAGGAGGCTGCAGAGACGACAAGCACCCAGTCATGACTGTTTTTTTGGTACTGTATTGTGTAGCTCTAGTGCTACTTATCTGCGAAATGCCCATTTTTGAGGAGTGTATGTCTGATGTTTGCTGCGACGGCGTGACGGATACAAGAGAAGTTGTCAGTTTAGTCAGAGGAGCAACTGGGCAGCCGACATTTGCAACACCATGGAATGTTAACTCCCCCACCCCCCCACCCACCCCCCAAAGTAAATACAGATACTATTTCTTGGACACACATTTAGAAAAAGGGCTATTTTAAATGAAGGAATAATTATTTAGAAATGCCCATAAATCTTAACACACATCCAAAATTGTCATTTTCCACAAAAAAAAGTAGTTAGTTAGTTTGTGTTCAATATAATGTTAGGGAAAATGTTTTTTTTTAACTCAATATTTTGCGCCATTGTTTAAAAACCACAGAAAAAAAGCACAGAAGCAGAATAAGTATTTCATTCCACTTTCAGAGACGAAGGCCACAGACGGATTGTTTAAAAGCAATAAGGGTCGCAGACTTTCTAGAAAGGGAGAATTCCACAAATGGATCCACTGGAAATGAAGGTTACAGATTCCAAAGTGCAAATGAGAGGATGTTTTTCATCACGTCCTGTGGAGACACGTCCTCAGTTAACGTTTCCAATCAGCGCATCTTCCAGAGATGGATGATGTTTAGCCTCTGAGTCATTTCATTGACTATGGAAATATGCAAATATATTTTAAAAACCCTGTTTGCTATTATGTCAAGAGGATATTTCTCTGTTTGCTCTTCACTTCTCAGGATCAGGTCCTTCAGCCTCCTCACTCTGCGTTCTGTTGTTTGCTCCTATGATTAATGCTTCCTTTGCAAAATATGCAGCCTTCTCCAGGACATTAAGTGCTTTGTTGTTGTTCCGCTCTTGATTTCGACTTCCCCGCCTCACCAGCTTATTTCTCATAAAGAGGTCGTTTCCAGGTTTCCAGCACTGCTCACGGTTTGAAGTGTTTTTTCTACACAATTCTTCATTTAAATGGAGGATGTTGACAACCAAACAAACCAGTCAAATCTGGTGCCAGTACCAGTTGTCAGGTGGCCAAGGCGTTGCAGTGGGACCTTTTTGCATTACGAGGACAAGATGGTGGATCACATTACATTACATTTAGCTGACGCTTTTATCCAAAGCGACTTACAATAAGTGCATTCAACCATACAAACCCAGAAGAACAAGCAAGTGGTGGATGATCTTGCAGGTGTTTACTCTGAGTCAGTCAGCACTTTACTGGCACGGATTGCATCCGTGGGAGGAGGCACAGATCTACATAAATTAGGCAGATGTTACATGCATGATTTTCTACAATACTTGTTCCAAGATGCACTGGCAAAAATAATATTAGACTATTACTGTGCATCGAACAATAGTAGCAGGGCTAGTGTTGATGAGCCGGTTCATTAGTAGACCTTTGCTAGTTTGTGCAGAATGATTGAGGTGACTCTGCCAAATCGTTTGATGGTTTTTGCTTTCTACACTGTCTGTTGGCACGATTAAAACTCCTCTTGGATGGACCTTATCGGAGCGAGTACAGACTCAAATCCAATGAATTGGTGAGAAACACTCTGACAGTGTGATAACAGGACGTATGTAAAGTGGCAATGCTCCAAGGGAACACCATCTAACGCCTAGAATATCTTTAAAAAAATCACACTCAAATTATATTTGTTATATTTGTCAGAAATATCTACAAAATGTCGAGACACTTGATGCAAATGTTGGCAAGAAAAAACAGTCAATGTGCAGGTGGAAAGGGGATCACTAAAGTGAGTGGGCCTCACCATCTGGGGACCATGAATGTGTTTGACAAAAAAAGAAAGACAGTTGGTCTTACTGTCGCTTAGATGTTTCAGTCGGAACCGAAGTAGTCAAGTGACAAACAGACCTCCAGCATCACTCTGCTATATGTCATCAATGTTCTGCTCCTGTAATGTTGGAAACCATTTCTTGCACCAAGCTGGAGGATTTTATGTGCACGTCCGTGCGACTCCTTTGTCCTCTGCTGGTCGTCACGGGCTGTTTACACCTCAGTGCTGTCGGATTTACGGCCACAGTCTCAGCTGACCCAGTGATTACCTTCCCAACCTGCACTGTAAATCTCTGCTGCGCTGTGGGAATAACATCAGTCAGGTGGAGTTCCTCCTACAGACCGAGAACTAATGTCTGCAATATGTACGAGAGGGAGAGTGGTTAACATAACTGATATATGAAGCTGTATGAAGCGGATTAATGGCCATAGAAAACGCCTCTTTTCAAAATGTGAACACTGCTTCTGATTTATTGGTATACGGACACCTTGAACTTTAGTGCCCTGCAGAAAGCCCCCCGACTGCTGCATGTATGTGCAACTGAGGAGGAGAATAAATGAACTGGAACATCTTTCTTCTTGTCAGGAGCAGATACACTACTTTACTCCCTTTTTACCAGTTTTTTATGTTAAATCATTAGAAGGCAGGAGGTATTTTGACCACTCACAGCACTATGGAGGGATGTTTTTAGGTGTGGGTTTGCTCTCATGTCACTAAAGAAAGGTTGTGTAATATAGTAAATCAGTTCACATTGCAATATTCCTACATTTACTACATAAGAGTACTTTTTCCACCACAGTATTTATGTTTGTATATAAGTTCCCTCTTTTGTACATACGTTGCCTAGATGTATTCTTCTTCTATCAGCATCCACTTCCTAGTTTTCCAGTTTCACACATGGACAGACCAGCAGTTAGAAGCGAAAGCTGAGCAGCAGAGGCAGTTAACAGCATAGTGGGAAAATCCTGCATTACTCAGATGATGGGTTTTGGGAAAGAAACAGCATCTTTTTTTAAACCATGTTATTTAAATGATTTTTGGTTTGTGATAATAGCAAGGGGAAAAAACACATTCAGAAAACATTCTCTGCACTCCTCTGTGCTTTGGTTTGTTTCGTCTGCATATTTAGTTCAACTTGAATAGTCATGAAGATGATATCCGCCACAGCCAGAGGCTGCTTGCATCACAACCACAAGACAAATGAAGAAATCATTTAAAAGATACAATCCATGATTTATTACAGAAAAGAGTGATATCCAAATTATTTTGCATTATTTTGATACATGTAAACAGGAACGAAGTAAACAATGTTGTTGATACACTTCATGTCACGACTGATACCATCCTATTGTACACTTAAATATACGGTATAACGTCACTGTGCTTTAACGTCAAGTACATCACTTGCTCAAGCACAATCCTATTAGGAGGCATAGCATAGCACGGAAAGCTTAATCCCCCTAGACTGCTATATTTTCAGAAATGTGCAAGGTCATGCCATGATTACCTATTATGCAGTACCCTTCTTCTGCTATCGCCAACAGCAGAAGGCAGCCTTTCAAACTGTGCAGCATTTGTGCAAGTGAGAAGATGAACCGTTGCTCTCAGAAGGAAGAAGATAACAGAAAAAAAAGATAGCTGGTAGCTGGTTAAGT